GGCTAAAGGTAAAACAAAAAGTCTCACTTGTGTGCTTAAGAGTATATGTGCTAAATCACCACCATTTCTGTGAATTATGTTTGCCTGTGTTGCTTTGCAGAAAAATTTGGACAAGTGTTGTGCAAATTCAGTCAGACTGTCACCACAGACAATACAGTTGTGCTTTGAATATCTCAAATACCATCAAAACATAAATTCCAGTGAGATGGTCAGAACCAGTACATGAGATGCTGGTCAGTAAAGCAAAACAAGTAATTTAAGTTATGAAGTGACCATGGCAATTGGTGCATTATGCTGATACATCACGTTAGGGCAGATCAGAGCTGCTGAAACACTATGAATTGCAGCCAGCTGTGGGAGGGCAAACAGAAAACTAAAAGATGTCCCAAGTCATCCTGCAATTTCTCAGCCCCAAAAAACCCCCAAACCCACACAGGTGCTTTTAGGAGTGACAGAGCATCCAAACAGTACCACAGACAATTCTGGTATCTGCACAACAAGGTCAAACTCCACATTTAAACATTAAGTATCAACGGCTGACTGCCTCAAATATGGATATGGATCAGGCCTCCCAGCTTGGTCCTCACTTCATACACTGACAACTGTGCTTCTGCTATGTTAACCTCAGTCAGCATCTCTGTCACCTACCCCTGGTCCACATTCCCGTTTGTTGGCTGGAAGGTTGAATAATTTGTTTTGAAAGTACAAAATCATAACATAACTGATCTTTAAAAAGACATGAGAGTTCTGCTGGTCTGTGCAGAACTCGTGCCTTTGGAGGTATGATGATGAAGAGACTGAGAAATGATGGGAAAGCCTGGCATACATGACTGAAGACAGGAGTTTTAAAAATTACATTGAAGGGAATACATTACTGAAGAAAGCTAACTGGAGAAATTACCTGTGAAAATTGACACTCCAGTGTGTTACATTTTCATGATGGAAATCATGGCATACAGAGAAAATTTTCAAATAGCACAACACACAGTGATGGGGGGGGAAGGCTGCCACGTATCTGTCTGGGCCTTGCAAGGACAAAGGGTTTTCTGGGCTTGGCTTGGATATGTGATATATTCATGTGCATCAGACCTCTGTTTGCTAAGTATTTCAGATTAGTTCTGCACCCAACACACAAGCTCTTTAACACTTTAAGTGCTGTAACTCTGATTGGAGTAATGATGTGTCTCTGCTGTTCAGAAATCTTAAACAATTCTGGCAAATCCTCCAGCTCTGGAGGAAATTTTTAAACGAAAACAGAAGATACATTAATGGAATATGCAGATTTCTCCATGCACAGGCCACTGGCATGCCCAAGCACAATGCCTCAGAGCTTTTTCAAGAACAATCTGATTGCCAGAAGGCCAAGATGTAGTAGGAACAACCCAGGAATGTGAATGTTCTCTGCTGAAATAGCTATGCCAGGAATAATATGCTGTTAGAAATGTCTCTAGAAAAACTCTGAAACACAGATACCCCATATACATTATTATTCTACTGATTCAGAATCTGCACTGTCCATCTTTGGGATTGTAAGGATTTGACACCTTTCATTAATTTAGACATGTTGTATTATCTTGGCATAAAAAAAAAAAAAAAAAAAAAGAGCTCATTTGCAGATACCATGCAAGAAGATATAAATATTTAGGAGAGGTAGCAGGCACCAAACCACAGATCTTCATTTTTAGGGAGATTACAGAGAAAAGAACTACCTAAGTTATGGATATCACTGCAATGCCAAGATGAATGAGTGTTCCCTATATTAGAGAATTAATGGGAGTGGACAATGGGTAAATGGGAATATATATCCCTCCCATGCTTCAAAGGAACAGAACAGTATGATCCTGTTAGAGGATGCCTCAAGTCAACATTCTTGTGGTGTACCTTATCTGTGGTCAAAATGCAAATTTCATTGACTAACAGTCCAGCAGTCTTCTCATTCCACTTGCACACTTTGCATTCCATTTGCTTCAGGAAGAGTCTCTGCCTCTCATCTTCTTGCTGGTCTTTATATTTTTTAAAAATTGAAATATCACAGTATGTTACACAAAAAAATGTATTTCCCCCAGACATGGAAACACTTCTCCCTCTTACTCTTTCATTTAGTGTTTAGAAGTTAATCGCATTACGGTAGTTAGTTATTGCATTACAGTAGTTAGCTCTACTAAGAGCTTCATAATTGGAGTGTTGAATATTCAGGTTCCGTAATAATTTTCTCAAGAGTTATCTGTCAGCACCCATAACTCATCATAAACCAATTATGTCACTTCTGGCATGCCTTTCAATACTTTGGTGCCTGCCAAAGTAAAAGTCAGTAAGATATTTTTCCATGGCTGATCCTGGGCAAATGGCTCCAGTGGCATTCCTTGTTGCAGGTCTGCCATTCAGGCTTTTGGAACTGCATAATCCCAGTCTTATGAGGCTATTCCAGCAAGCATACCTCATAACACAAAAGTATTTTCAAACTGGTTAATCACTCCAATTGACTGATTACCACAAAACACTGTGCTGAGTAACACCGATGGAATTTATTGAAAAGTAGCACGTAATTTTCTGAGTATGCATTTGATAACAATGTGGTTTATCTGACTTCTGGTCAGATGGGAAAATCCCTTCTCTGCCACACAGGAACACATATAAATACCTAACATATGCATTACAAAACACATTTGAAATTACAAGGTCATGCAAATCTCACTTAAGATACCACTAAGTTTTGCACTGCAACACAATTCTGTAATGAATATCTTGGTTCTTCACCGCTAGGAAACCTACAGATTTCTCTCCCTTTGAATGTTCCAGATCAGCCTGGTTCTCACAGCAATTCACCCTAACTCCACCTTTAAAGTGCCAAGATTTTAAGATAAATTGTTCTGACAATTGTCCTGACAAATTAGGTATTCTAAGCAGTCAGATTACAGATCTACTTAACAGCTGCACATTTCTCATTAATTCTTTTCTGCTACATTCAGAAATCTCCTCCTTTTCAAAGTGCTCATGAAATTAAGGTAACCACTTGAGCACAAGCCACAATTAGCTGATTATTCGTTTTTACACCAAACCTCATCTAAAAAATTATATTGAAATGTTTACATTGTTACTTAGTATCAAGCCATCCACGTGTCAAAAAAAAGAAAAAGAAATCCTTAAGCCCTATGTCCCACAGTGAGATGAAGGGCCTCAAATAGTTTCCTGCCCAAACCAACACAAGATCTTTTCCACCAGCTTGAGTGGCCATACAAGTGAAGCAGACTGTGAGTGATATGAAGTGAGAAATAAGAATAAAAAGTTACAGTTTAAAATATTTTCATAAACCATTTCTGAGGAAAAAAAAATAAAATTATCAAATGCTGAATTTATTATATTTCAACATTTAATTTCTTTTAACATAAACAGTTTTGTGTGAAAAGTGTTTTGAAATTTAAAGCTCAAGTTACTGAAGCAGGTATGATACCTGTTTTACTTGCAATTGCAATGGGGTATACATGCAATCATTTGGCAAGTACTTCTTGAGGAGCATTAATTTCCAGCTGAGGAGTGGAAATTCTAACTACAAGCTCATTTCTCACCAGCTTTTTTTTTGCAAATATGAGCATTTTATTATAAAGCTAGAGATTTAATTTCGTCTCATCGTTCAGAGTACCACAATGAAAATATGAAGAGTTCAGACTAAGGAATAGCATTATGGGTGCTTAGTTAACTAATTAAATTATAATAGCTCCTTTAAATGCTGAGGTTCTCACTCCACTGTTGTATATACTATTCACCTTTATAAAAGCATCCTGGGCTACAGTCTGAAAAGTAACAAGGAAATACAGTTATATCCTAGGGCAATCTTCATCAAGTTTTATCAATGACCCTATTTAAAATATTTTTGTGATTATTCAAATAGGACCAAAATGCTTGAAGTCAACTATCTAATAAATATTTTTCTGTGTTAATCAATATTATAGAGCAAATACCAAATTACAGATTTTTCAGATCACACACTGTTTAGTAAATCATAAATTAACTATGGAGTAAATAACCACAGAATTATTTCCCTCAGGCTTTGGGAACAGATTTGTTGAATCTTTTCAGCCTCTTTGGTATCAAGGATGGTTTAAAAAACATCAGTTTCATTGAAAGGGCTTTAGAGAAGACTTTTGTCTAGTGGTTGTTCATTAACTGTCAAACTCTGACAAGCTTCAAAACCATGTCTAGGATTATGTGATTTTTTGTGGGTGTGGTTTTTTTATTTTTGCTTGTTTTCTTTGTCTGTTGGTTGGGGTTTTTTTTTAATAACCAAGGAAACTAACAGTTAATAGTTAAAAAACCCCAAAAGACACAACCCCAAGATCATTCCCTGTTTATTTTGCCCTGGATGCTGAGCCACCCACGTACTAAATCTTCACATGGCTGATCTTTGTTGTTACCAGAAAAAATGTTTCGACAGCAGCTGCTTTTCCAAAAGCAGCAGCTTCAACTAAGGAAAGAAATCCATGTGCTCTACATTGCTCTGGCTTATGAGAAACCAAATTATAAGAAGTCTATGAAGCCATTAAGTTGGGCTCATTTCTAGTCATGTCCCTTTGTAGAAACAGAGCTTGTGGAGTTGACAGAAGAAGCAGCACTTCAGAGCAAGGAGTAATTTTGATTGTACTAATAAATAACATAGAGGGAATATTATAGTGGAGCAATGAGAGGGGAGTCAGAACACATTAACTTTGGGAGCATCCCCTCTGTAGAGCACCCTCCAGAATCACAGGTTGGCCACCCCTTCCTCCCATGCCAACACCACTGCGACAGCTCATAAAGTGAAGTTCTTGTGCACGTAATAGGCCAAAGAATATTCCAAAGGTGGATCTCAGTGAAAAAAAAAAAACCACCTCCACAACTTTTAACTACATTCGAACTATTCACAGGGGAAAAAATAAAAGACTACCTTTCAATATTGTTCACAAGTTCAAAAATTTGGCCTTCTGAAGGGAAGTGTGTAACGGTGACATCTCCACTTCTCTTACCTTCGCGATGGTCTCGTGCAGACTGAAGGAGGGATCCAGCTCTTCTGTTTTTGTTGCATGTACGGGAAAAAGAGCTTCGGAGAGAAAGCTAGAATTCTGTGAGAAAGAAGTAAGAAGTCTTTTAGGATTCCACACTGATTTCCTCCTTCAAATGCTTATTGGATTTTGTTGAGAGATTGAAAAACCCTTCAAATTGTTTGTAAGTTTTGACAATTATAAAAAACTTATTTCACTGATCTAATTAACTGATTCCAAGTTCCCAAAAATGCAAAAAAAGCCCTAAGTCTTACAACTTTATTTCTGGAATGGCAGTTGTCTCTGTTATTATGCTTCCAAAGCAGCTAAAAATTTTGCCTACAGGGAGAAAAAATATCCATGCAGCTTTCATTCTGAGCTAAGCAGCAATCAGACATTTTATTAAATATGTTATGATTTAAGTCTTCAAAAGAAATGTAACCATAATAATCAAAGAACACTTTTTTATCTTCTGCAAATATCCTACTTCTCTATACAGTAATACCACCTATATAGCAAGGGATTTTTGTCACTTCCCTAAAACTGTATACTTTAGGTTGACCCCTCTTTTAACATCAGGAAATCTTAATGCATCGTTTGTACAAGATATTAATCTCTTCTTGTACTGTAAGAAAGGGAGAAGTGAGGTTGCAAAATTGCTATCACGTGGAAAAAACAAACTTAATACCAAGGAGTTGAGTGAAAAAAAGCAAAACAATAGAAAACAAAACTCCAAGACTCAAAGGTGCCCAGATGGCTAAAATTACATTACATTACAATGCTGATAGGTTTTCTTGTTAACTTTTTTTACAAATTAATGCCTCCATGATCAATAGTATACCAGAATTTCCATGTTGCTAGGAGATTATTTCTGGTAGTAAATTCCTTTCACTTTCTTTAAAAAAAAAAAAAATTGAATCATATAAATTTTTTGTGTTTATGATACATCTGTGTGTTGTCACAGAAGTATCAGAAAAATAAATGATGTCATTCCTCCCTTCAGGAAATCAGAAAACTTTATTTTATATATATCTCAGGGAAAAGATGAACAAAGTAATTTATCACAAAAACAAAATACATACTTCAAGATTAACTCCTAACACCTATTCATCTTTGTTTTAAGTTTGCACAGGAGTTTACAAAGCCATATCATCTGACTGGGGGTCCGTTCAGGAACACCATCATTCTGCTGCAGTGGTGCTAATGCTGTTCATCATCATTCATATAATTGCAATCAATAACTTAGAAAGAACCCCATTATTTATATTCACTCCAGAGTACCATACTGAGAGTCAGTGAAGGGAATGATTGATGATTTAGATCTGCTACACCAGATCAGATTATTGTTCCATCTAGACAAATATTCCTTCTCTGGAATATAAAAGTTGGTGGATTCCCTGTCTGTCAAACACTGAGATAGTGCTTAGCTGGCTTTTCTCCCACCCTACTCCAGGCACACCTCCCAGCCAAGTCAAGATTACAGCAGCTGGACCAGGTAAAACAACAGCCTCTGCTTCTGCCCTCTGCCTTTTGAAGTAACACGGTGTAAATAAGTGACAATCAGCAATCAAAACACATCCAGGCATCACAGGTGGCAAGTCAGTTTGCTCATGAAGGAATCCAGACCCTGAGTGGTAAGATCTTGAAAAGGATCACTATTTGAAATAATCTTGCTCTGCACTTACAAAGGGAAATGTTTAAAGCAGTTGTTGTTTCTTTTTTTTTTTTTCTTTTCCAAAAAGTCTCCTCCATAAAGAACTACTAGAAAGGCCAACTTACTGCTGCTTCTCTTGCCTTTTATTGCCTTTCAAGCACTATCCTCAGCAGAGATATCTGCATGAACTCCCAAACTAAGAGTAGCCCACTCTTTATCCCAGGGAGCACATGGTAGAGAGATGAGTCCAGATGATGTTCCAAGAGTACCTCTCAGCATTTAACAGCAAGAGCAACACTTTCCAACAGTGAGAAATTCCATCAAACTTCTCATGTTTCTTTTCAGCAAGCTCACAATAACACATGAGTGTTGGGTTTTGGTTTTTGGTTTTTTAACAGCAATTTGATAAGCATATTTCTAGTAAACATGCACTAAGAAAAAGAAATGCTAATCCAAAGAACATTAATACAAATGATATTATTCCTTTATGCTCTCCAACCACAGTAGGAGTTACAGCTGCAGTTGTTGTCCTCATACTCTGCTGCACTCACTTCCTAAACACAAATCATCTGCCTTCACTCTTAGCCAGGCATTTGTATCCTCCTCAGTTTGTACAATGGGCAGAGTCTTCCATGCACTGTGCAGTTGAATGCTTTGACAATGATATCAAATTATAGAAAAACTGTTTCAAGGTCACACCACCGTGAGACATCCTAAAATTTAGGAGGCCCAATTTCCAGTCACGCTTTTGAAATTTTTCTCCTCCATGCTTATTGCCTTCTGTAATTTTTTCTTTAAGCTCACAGCTATCCAAATGGATAAAGGATATTTGCTCTTCTGTTGTGTTTTCATCACACAACCTTTACAATCCTGAAAGGATCACCCCAATAATCCTTGATTTCCCAATGCAATCATTTGGCTCCTCTATGAGCTTTTCATAAGAGAAATCAACAAGCACAACATGTATTTGGAAGTAGATTTCCAAACCCTCTTTTTCTTATCTTCCTTTTGGAATGATCAGTTAACCTGGTCTTTTCAATATTCATTTAATGAAGCATTCTGTGAAATTAGAAAGACACTGATGTTCCACTTTTCAAATAATGGGTCACTTCTGATTAAACTTCGATTGAACATTCAACTTTCAATCTTAAAACAAATTGCCTCCTTTTCTTTTTAATTTGAACCCAATTTCCTGCTGCCCTCGGGTCTTGTGACAGTAATTAATTGATTTATGAATCAATTAAATGGAGATCAAAAATGCAGGTGAAAATCCTTTAAAACCCCAAATGTGGCTTACTCTTGCTTATTTATGATGGACACTTGCACTAAAATTCACTTCTGATTTACTAGACTCATTTTTCTAACTTATCCTTCCTCAACCAATTAAGTGAACAGAATGTTTCACCTTCTAAAGGTACTAAATTTGCCATCCCTTGTGTACTGTCTTATAACATACCTTCAATTTATACGCCAACTTTCAACCAATGCATTTTAAATCATGAGTAAAATCCCACAGCACTTCTGGTAATTTAATGTAAAACAGAATAAATACCAAGACATACTTTAAAGATCTATTCTGCTGTCATTAAATAAAAAAAAACTTTTTAAAATATCAAATTTTACCACACACCTAGAACTGGAAATATTTCTGTAAATCCATGCAACAAATAATTTTTTTACTAGGCCAATGTTGCATCTACAACAGGTCCTGTTTTCTTGACTATTACTTTAGAAACAGAAAAATTACCAGTTAGAAGAATTCTGAATTTATAAACTCAAAATATGTAACTAATAATTCCTTAATATGCTCTCATTCCACACCTGAATAGACCATTCTTGCCTGTTGAATATTCCCCGTCATTTATAAGAATACATTTATAAGAAGTCCTTAACTTGGTGAATAATGCACAAATATCTCCAGATTTTTTTTTTTTTGGGGGAGTGGTTTCTTTGTTGTTTATTTGTTTTGAAAGTAACAAGCAGTGGAGGTTTCTCCACTAAGCAATAGTCTGCTCAGTCTGGAAAGTCTAAAGTTCTTTAACCAGTTTGACTTCACCCTATTAATATTCATCTGAACTGCCCATACTTGGGTTAACTTTGTCCTTCAGCCCTTCACAATATTCATGCCACCAATTTTATAGTGCATAAAAGTAAAGAAAAAATGAGGTACTACAGAGTACCACAGAGAAAAAGCACTGAGAGCAAAAATCCATCTGAAATTTGTACAGGTAGGCCAGAAGTATAAATGTGCTAATCTAACACTGCTAAAGCCTCCAAAGCAAATATGCAAGAGAAGGATGAAAGCCAAGAGAAAATTACTTATTTTCCTCACACAGACCAAAGAATAATGTCTAGAAGATGAGAAATTTAGGCGTTGCTTTCGCTGCATCAGGACTGAGAATACAATCTGTTACCTGTCCATATATACATACACATATGTACATACACATGCTATGTCTGTTCTGTGAGCTGTTCCATTCTTTCTGCCTCTTTGTAATACAACAGCACAAGAATTATGATTGCAGCAACCTGAGGGACACACACAAATGTGCAGTGTTCTGGCCAGCAAAACACAAAGCAGTCCCTGCATGTCTTCAGAATTAACCTGGGAACACGTTCAGTCAGGGAGCTGAAGTCACCTGCAAAGCACAGTCTGAAGTTAAGCAGTGCCCAAAACTATTACCCAGAAACCCAAGGGCTTACAATTGCACGAGGACTTGTCTGCATCTGTATTCAAAACCAGTGCCAAAAATTTGTCGTAGCATGAAGGAGAAAGCCCCGTCAGGAGAAAAGATAAAGAGAGAGCAGCGAGAAGAACAAAAACACCTCTGAAATCTGCACCGCAGGCTCTCACTAATTCCTTCTTCCATTTTACCCTAAGTCAAGCAGTTGGCATATGGTGTCTTGGCAGCAAATAAACAACTGCATTTCTTTGTGAAACAGCTGTTTCACCTCACCTAAGCCAAAAGGCCATCTCTTCTCCATTTTCTTTTTTTTTTGTTGTTTTTCCTCCCGGTAGGGTGATTGAACCACAGGTTTGACTGTAAGAAGGATAAAAAAAGGAGTAATGGAAAAGGGTATTTCACAGACTAAAATGCTGCTAATCATCAGCTATCTGGAATACTTTTAGCTTGGGAGGGTGCTGTAGACTGAAGCAGATTTACTGAAAAAGATGGATTATGTAGCATAGAACATAATGAAGACAAAGTATGGTTTTCTAATATGTGAGTTAAATTGAACTGATGGAATAATACCAGGCATTAATGTATTGCACATAGGATTTCTCTCCAATAAAAGCCCTTAAAGCTGCAAATATATTGCAGGAGAGAGTTCATGCCTCTCCTTCTCACTAGTAGGTTGAGTTTTCCTTTTCTAGCAAATGCTCTAAATATCTAATTAAATATCATCTGCCAAATCCAGAAGGGAT